TTTATAACTTTAATAATGTTCATTCTGACAGGGGTCAGTTGGCCTCCCCTGTGGTTTTAATTTGCATTTCTTGGATGATTAGTGATACTAAGCATGTTTTCATGTGTACATTGACTATTTTCATATCTTCTTTGGAAAAATGTCTGTTCGTGTCATTTGCTCTTTTCAAAGAGGTTATTTGTTTTGTTCTGTTTTGTTTGAGTTGTGTGGATTCCTTATAGATTCTGGATATTATTCCTTTGTCAGATGCGTACTTTCAGAATATTTTCTTCCATTCTGAAGGTTGTCTATTTACTCTGTTGATTATTTCTTTTTGTGGGCAGAAGCTTTTTAGTTTAAGTCCAATTTGTTTATTTTTGTTTTATTGCATTTGCTTTTGGGAGCTTAGTCATAGATTTTTTGTCTAGGCCAATAACAGAAAAACTTCTCTAGAGGATTTTTTTCAATAATTTTATAAGTTTGGGGTCTTACCCTTAAGAGGATTCTTCTACAATTTTACAGATTTCAGGTCTTACACTTAAGTCTTTGATCTGTCTTGAGTTAATTTTTGTATATGGGGAGAAATAGGGCTCCAGTTTCATTCTTCTGCTTATAGCTATCCATATTTCCTAGTGCCATCTTTCCCCATCGTATGCTTTTGTCTGCTTTGTCAAGGATCAGCTGGTTGTAGATATATGCCTTTATTTCTGGGTTCTCTATGATCTCTATCTCTGTTGATCTATGTGTCTACTTTTATGCAAGTGCCATGCTTTTTTGGTTACTACATACCATGGTAATATAACTTGAAGTCAGGTAATGTGATGGTTCCAGTTTTGTTGTTTTCGCTTAGTATTGCTTTAGCTATTGGGATTCATTCTTGGTTCCATATGAATTTTAGGATTTTTTCCTAATTCTGTGAAAAATAATATTGTTATTTTGAAAGGAGTTGCACTGAAGCTATAGATTGCTTTGGGCAGTGTGAGTTTGAAAAGGGACACTAAGAAAGGGACTTTCAAGGGGGATGGAAAGAAAACGTAGCCTGCTAAACCAGGAAGTCTGTAGAGCCTATAAGAATGTGGGTAAGAAGTAACCTAGGTAACCAAAAGCCAATAGAAAGAGACCATCAATGACCACTAGGAAAGGAGATGCAGAGGGGTCAAAGAAAGTTTTGCAACGAATTTCAAAAGGACACAGTATTTATACCTCTGCACTGCCTTTTCTTCTCCATCTCCCTCACCCTTTCTCCTTGAGAGGACACACTTCCAACTCTTTGGAAGAGTTCTAAACTTTCTCTTTGTTCTTCCTTACTAAAATCTCTCTTTGTTACCCTGAAACTCGTGTAGGTTACTTTTGCCTCTATCCACACTACCGGTGCTGCTTCAGAAAGTATTGGTGAGATTTTGGCAAAGAAACAACATTGGTGTGCAGTGGACAAGGATAAATTTGCATTTCACCTACTCCATATCCCCATCCTAATGAGGAATAACAACAGCATTTAAGGGAAAAAAAAAATCCTTGAATTTGATAAGGCTGAGCAAAAGGCAAGGAGAATTTTTTCCTTTCCCTAAAAGAAATTTTGCTTCTCTCTTACTAAAGCATTCAACTATTTCTCCAAGTGAGAGCAGGGCAATTCCCAGGTCTGAGCTGCAGTTCTTAGCACCGTGTGTTAAAAGACCTACCCTTGATTTCCTGGCCTATCAGGACCCCAGTAAACTTTTCTGTTGCCCAACGCTCTGGGCTGCAGCCACACTCCAGTAAGGTCCATCTCAGCCTTGTCTGATGGGGGCACTTTCCAAATTCTTTGTTTTCTCCATGGATATTCTTTCCCTTCTCCTTATAGTTGGTACTACTTTCTGTATTTCCCATTCTTGTATTCTGTGGAATATTCTTTTCTCCCATTGTTTAACTACCTTTTATTACCTAATAATTTTTTATATTAATTTTTTCTTGATCAAGTGACTGGTGTGGCTTTTGACTCCTACCTAGACTTTCACTAATACAGAAAAGATGAAGGAGGAGTGTAGCAGCCCGTGCAGCCTATGGCTAAGAGGAGTGAGAGTTATAGGAAATACCTGTCATGGAACACCTTGGTGAACAGGGCATGGAGAGAGATTTAGTTCTAACTAGCAGGAGAGCTCGTGAGATGAGAGCATTGGTGAATTGGCAATCTCTACACCTCTGGTGTTGAGAAGCATGAGATCAGCCTTATATTAGGCTGGAGGTGAAGTCAGTCAAAAAAGCATGCGCATTCTATCATGGGCACTTTTACTCTGACTCTGTCTCCTCTCCTGCCTGCAGAACGCCAGCATGGCATCTCTGCTGAAGATTACCAAGCTCTACTAAAGACTAAGACCTATCTTTTCTAAGAAGTCTGCTTCTCTCTCTCCCTCTCTTCCTCTCTCTCTCTCTTGTAGATAGCCCTCAAGCACCTAAGACAAACTGTTCCTGAGCTAGGTAGCTTAGCAGTCCACGTCCAGAACCTGCCTAAGCTGGGCCTGCGACCTGGCCAGTCCTGGGCCCTGAGAAGTGGTGTCAGAAGCAGATCCTGACAGAGGAGGCTAATTACCTTTGAGATCAGCTTTTCTTAATCTTTTTACCCTTGAACTATTTTTTAGGTCTCAAGGAAACCACACATTAAAATGATAAAATCTTTGGCTTATACTAGCAGTAAGTTGACAATTATAATGGTCAATGTTATTCAGTAAAGAATGCTGGTTTTCCATAGATCTGTTTATTTTGGTCAACTTTTTAGTGTACTTTTTGTGTGCCTCTCCCTCCTACAAAAGTTAACTCTAATCAAGTCATTAATGTAGGTAGAGAAAAACTCAATTTTTCCTTTTTTTAAAATGCCCTCAACTTGGCTCAATGCCTGTATCTCAGAGGTTAGGGTGCCGGCCACATACACCGGGGCTGGAGGGTTCGCACCCAACCTGGGCCTGCTAAAACAATAATGACAACTACAACAAAAAATACCCAGGCATTGTGGTGGGCGCCTTTAGTCCCAGCTACATGGGAGGCTGAGGCAAAAGAATGGCTTAAGCCCAAGAGTTTGAAACTGCTGTGAGCTGTGAAGCCATGACACTCTACTGAGGGTGACATAGTGAGACTTTATCTCTAAATAAATAAATAAATACCCTCAACATTTTTACCTTACCCAAGTGGGCTACTCTTACCCATGTAATAAATTTCTACCATGTAAAATGCTAATGAGGTATCTATCATGTGGAATATTTCATGGGCAAGAATAATTTTCCCTTTATTTGAAACTAATACTGATTTTATAGCCAAATAGGTAGTTAAGCTTAGCCTAACTCTCTTAAAATCAATCTCTCTTTTCTCCTAATACATTTGAAAAATTTCTAAGGCAGACAATAAATTTCTATTAAATACATGACAAGCTAAAATGGGTTTGATTTTACTTAAGGTAAACTTGGTTGATTTAAAGGCTGTGCTCATTTTTATAACACTATTCATAACATAAAATTTTATTAACACTGAGTCTTAAGCTATTAAAACCATAGAAAAAAGCAATATGAATAAAAATCTGTTTAAGATACCATTTTATATGATACAAAAGAAAACATAATCTCACTGAGGGATATAAACAGGCTTAAATATAACACAGTGTAATAGTTACAAAATCATTATATATATGTATCTGTTTCTTGCATAAAAATATTATTTTGGGCCTTTTTTGTCTCCACTAGGGTGGCCCATTCTTTGTCTATGGTGCATCTTGCTGGGTAAACCTATATCTTTCTCTCTCTCAGTAAAGTCTGTTTCACACTTGAAAAAAAAAGTGTTACTTTGAAACTAAAATAAAAGAACAAAATTCTTTAATGTGAAAGCCTGTGCTCATTTTTTAATACACAATGATTAGAGTTGAACTTAAGATAAGCATGTATAGATTTCATTTTCAAATAACATGAGATAATTTCTGCCCTTGCTCTTGATACATACTATGCCAGAAGAAAGCATTCTTACCTGTGTAAGTAGTTTAAAAACTGCAGAAAATCTTCATTTATTTATTTTTTATATGAATGGTAGGATACTCTTATTTTACCAAAATCCAGAACTTGAGGCAAACCAGTAAATCTCATATTTGGGGTTTGATCAGACTGTGTCTTACAAAGCTCTTTCTTTTCTCTCAAAGCCAAGAGGAGAAGATTCAGACAATAAAGGTCCCTGATTGAGACATACGCCTGGATTGAAAGAAGAAAAAATGCTGTCCATTATTGTTCTGCAGTTCTTGCAGATTATTTTTAAGAAGACTTAAACCTCACTGATTTCTTTCCACACTTCTAATCCCAAGCTGTGGAAATAGTTTGACATTTCCTTTTACAATGTAATTTTTCCAGAGATTTTCTTTACTCATTCATTCATTGATGGAAACTTAGGTTGATTCTGTACTATTGTAAATAACGTTGCATGCACATGGCAGTGCCATTGTTTTTCCTGACATACTATCTCACTTTCTTTGGACACATACCCAGTAGAGGGATTGCTAGGTCACGTGGTAGTTCTATGTTTAATTTTTTGAGGAACATCCAGACTGTTCTTTCACAACAGCTATACTCATTTACATTCCTACCAACAGAACACATCACTGATTTTTAAAGTAGT